TTTGGATGTGTCATTGCCCAGGGCAGGGCTTGGGACTAGATGATCTGTAAGGTCCATTCCAACCCTTAAAATTCTATGAATAGTTGTCTCTCCAAATGGAATTTTGTCACTCCATGTAGTTTAAAGGTGACTTGACGCTGATGCCCTAAGTTAGAGCATATTTTTAATTATTATTTCTTGAACTGTATTCTTACCTTTGAAGGTGACCTAGAAGAAGATGTACATTATCAAACTCTCTGTTGCAATGCATCACAGGACAACATTTGGGACTGCTGTAGACTTGCTTCTGACCTGCCACCTTATAACCAACTCTTCTTCCACTGGTAATAGAGCCTGGTTTCAGACCTGTGTTATAAAACAAAGCACTTAACCAGAGCCAAATTACAGAGGCTTAAGAAAACAAACAAAACACACAAGCCCTAAAGTACTTAAAAATCAAGTCACAGTGATTCTTAAAAGCAAACTAAAAGTACACTCACTGTAACGGAATGCTACCAAAGCAAGTCTGCTCTTCCCCTTTCTCTTCAATCCCCACCAGTATAACTTTTCAAAATCTTTGACACCTTTCCTCCAGGTCCTCCAAGCAGTATTTCAAATTCATTATCATACAGAATCATCAAAGATGGAGGAGACATCTAAGATAATCAAGTTCAACCATTAACCTGTCACTGCTGGAACCCCTAAACCCTAAACCAGATCCTCCAGTGCCAGATCCAGATGCCTCTTCAACACTTCCAGAGATGGTGACTCCACCACCTCCCTGGGCAATATCCCAGTGCCTGAACACCCTAACAGGGAAAACATTTCTCCTAACATCTAATCTGACTCTGCCCTGGCTCAGCTCAAGGCCATTCCCTCTATCCTCTCCCTGCAGCCCTGGCAGGACACACATCCACACCTCTCTCCAAACCCTGTCAGGGAGTTGTAGAGAGCCATGAGGTCACCCCTGAGCCTCTTCTCCAGGCTAAACAAACCCAACTCCCTCAGCTGTTCCTCAAACGACATGTCTTCCAGACCGAACAGTAACAAGTTCTATTCTGCAATGCAGGACATAGAAACCATCAGTGAAACTTCATTTCCTGTTCTTACCTGGCATTTTTAACCACTGGTCCACACACAGCCTTGCAGCCTCTGTATCACTCTTCTCCCGAATAAATTCTAGTTCTTGCAACCCATGAGCATATTGGGAATCAATCTTCTCCTGAGGGAGGAAACATACCAGGCAAGGTGGTAATCAGATTTAAGAAAAAATAATTCAAGATTAAGTATGAAGACCAAAATGTCACATAGAGGTTTCTAAAAATTGAAGAAAAAAATCAAATAAAAAAAGCACCCACAAAAACCTAAGTGGGGCAAAAAAGTCTTACAACTGGACTGACCTCTATTTAACACTATAACTATGGAATGTAACAGCAATAAAAAAAAATCAACTAAAAAAGCATTACTT